GGCTCGGGGGCCGCAGGGGGGTGCTGGGGAGCCCGTGGAGCTGGGGTCCCTGCTCAGCAGGGAGTTGCCGGTCCCGAGTACAGAAGCCCCTCCGCTCGGAGCAGTCGGTTAAAGCCTGGCTCGTCTGACCTTCCCCGTTTCTTTTCCCGGAGCAGGACCCCCGGGAGCAGAGCTGGAGATGATCTCCCACATGGATCAGAAGGAGGAACTGTGGTTCTCCCACCTCCACGCCTACAAAGGGAACTCCGTCCTGAGCGGCACCCGTCCAGGTAAGGGGCTGGTGCGGTCGTCTGTGAACCTGTTGGTGAGAAAAAAGGCTTCAGGATCCCCAAATCCCACGAGAGTGCGCAGGAGTGGCGGTACTGGGTTGGTCCGGCATCCCTCCAGCTTTGCCTGCTGTCTCCCAACAACAGCCAGTATTGGGTATTGGAGGCGCAGAGAAGAGCAGGCAGGCAGTGGTGTGTCCCTGTATGCTTTCCCAGGCCCAAGCAATCTGTGGCTTCACAAACTCCTGAACTAGACACGTGATGTCTCAATATCTTGCAGCTCTCGGTGTGTTTTCTTGCCTTCTGAGGTCGTGTACGTTTTAGCATCCATGACAGCTTGCAGCAAGGAGTTCCACAGATGATTTAGCTGGTTTATGAGTCACTGCCTCCTTCAGTTTGCTTTGAAGCTGCCTTCTAGTAGTTCACTTGATGTCAGTAGTTCTTAATTTAGAATAGACGGTGCAGGAAGGATCCCTGCCCGCCCCACAGGCCACTTGTGTGTTTATAGTCTTCTGTCGTAGCCCCTATCAGCTGTACCTTTTCCCAGCAGAATGGGCAGTTGAGTCATCTATACAGAAGCTGTTCTGTGCCTTTGATCATTCATGTCATGCCTCTGTCTCTTCCTCAGCTCTGATAGAGTTTTTCTGAAATGGGGGATCTGTCCCCCTTGCACGCAGTCAGGATGCGGGCTTTGAGCAGCGATGCAGAATTACATTCTCTTTTATTCCTTGGTTTTTTTCCCAACAATCACTAACATTTGTCTGGCTATTTTGTCTGCCTAGAGCTGCAGTTTTCATCCGTCTGCTCTAACTCCAAGGTGCTCTTCCTGAATGATACCAAGAACGTCCTAGGCCCATCCTGGTATAAGTGCAAGGTATAGAGGCTGTTCCCCTCTGCACTTCTTTATGTTTACCTGCAGTGAATGTCCCTGCCGTTCCCCTGTCACCTGGTTGGTCAGTATCATAAGGCTCTGCCACAGTTTATAGTCAGCCTTTGTGTCTTTTACCCTGAATAACACAGAGTCAGCAGCAGATGTTTCCACCTCCTCTTCCCCTCCCTTACCACCTTATTGTGGGTCATTCATCCCATGGCAGCTTAGTTTCTTTATCTGTTTTGGTGAAGGACAAATGTCTTTTGGGAATGCCTTTGGACTCCAGGTCTCCCTTTTGCTAAAACTGGTGACACCTCTGAAGAACTCCCAAACGGTTTGTGAAGTGAGACATCTCGTAAGGCCGTGCCAGCTCTTCCCCAGTCTGCCCTCTTTGGCTGTCTGCCCATTAATTCTCTTACTCTGATTTCTATTTGTTTGCTTGGAATGTTGGACCCCAGATCTCCCTTCGAGCCCTTTCTCTGGCATCACATCAGCCACCTTTCCATTCCCCTGACGGTGAGGTATCAGAGTCAGGAGTCCAGCAGTGTTGTGAGGTCATGTGAACAGCCCTGCTGCGTTAGACCAAAGGTCTGTGTAACTCTGAGCCCCGTCTCAAGGATTTGGGGACTGGCTAGAAGTAGATGCCAGGGAAGGGGATGAGAAGCATACAATGACACCTCCCTGGCACAGTCTACCATCGTCCAGCAGCTTACTCATGATGGTGGTTTGTTATTTTTAATAGTTCTCAAGAGTTTCTCTTCTGTGAACTCTTGAATTCGGTGCCAGAGACGATTGCTGTGTCCTCCCGCTGCTGTGAGACAGGCCAGAGCATCAGCCAAAACTCCTTCTACTACAGACTTCTCTTGAGAAAGAGAGACCCAAGGGTACATTTAAGGTGATATTTAGGTTCTCTCCCAATGCATACGCTTATTCTGCTTACCTGGAGCTTGCCTTGTAGATTATAACACTGGCACCCTTGGGCATACCAGAGATCTTACCATCAACCCGAATTGGCATGGGCTGAGGAAGAACCACATTCTTCCTATCTCTCTTGCTTATTTGTGCCATTTTTACACTTTCAGTATTAATTCCTCAGCATTGTGACCTTAATCTCCTTCCACTTTAAATACTTCCAGTGAGTTCTTGTCATCATGATTTTGATCAAACCCTTTACAGACAACTTGTCCCAGATGCCAGTGAAGATACCTAGTAGCTCAGAAGTAACCAATATGGTTGTAGAAGTTGAGAGCTGGAGCCATGGCCGCAATCATTGTAAGAAGCAGCTTGAAACTCCTGACCTTCCCCCAAAAGTACAGAACACCGTAGAATTCTCATGTACTTTGAAGGCCTTTTCAAGTTCTCTGTAGAGAAGCAAAACTCTATGTAAGTACCAAAGCTAGCGCCGGTGAAGGATATCTCTTTGGGCACGACATCAACAGAACAACTTTGCTAGCTCCTTTGTCTACTCAGGAGGTCTGACATACAGGTCAAGAGCTTCATGCTGGCCTGCCAGAAATGTCCTCTTCTTATTCTGTCTTTGGATATCACCTTTCTCTTTTCCTCCAGGCCTGGATGGCGGTAGCTGCAGACAAATGGAAATGGCTTCATGGTGAATAGCAAAGTTCCAGTTTCTGTTTCTCTCAAGGGATGATTTTAATTAAAACTCTATGAGGGAAGAAGTGGCATCACTATCACACCAAACTCCCACAACAGGTATCTAAGGAGTTTGCTGTGAAATTGTATTGTGATGTTGCCTTACACCGACTGGAAAGAGGAAGATTAAATATGTACACATGTAAGTCTGGGTTGAAATTCTGGACTCCCCTTCCTTCATTGCGTAAGTACAGTTCAGCAGTGACTCTCCTCTTCCAAGGCATCCACTTCCTTATCTCAACTCTGCCAGACCACAGGAACTGCCTGTGGTTTGTATATCAGTCCCACACAACTGATAGGTCACGGGACCAGGCGGTAGCCGTTGAATCTTTAAGTAGGCAAATCTTGAGATCTGCGTGTTTGCGGCTTTAGTCCTCAGCCTGTTCTGTATATTTTGGGTCTACATATAGTGAACAGCAAGTCATCCTTCACCCCTAGAAGTCCCTATAAAGAGATCATCTGGAAATCTATTTCCCTGATTGACCTGTCTTAAACCTGGATGTGATGCCTCTCTTCAGAGATGCATGCTGCCATTTCTACATCCCATGTACACCCCTCTGACTTGCATTTACCCTCCCCTGACAGCAGAAGGGTGCGTGCCACACAGGTCCTGTCTTGTCAGTTTAGCGAGTAGGCCTGCAAAGAGCTACATTTCCCCGCTGAGAGCAAAAGCCACAGTATTGTTGGGGGTACGTGCTTTTGAGCATGCTAGGTTGCTCGTCAAACTACATTAGAGCTGGAAGGAGTCACTGCTTTGTGTAAATAACCTAGAAACTTCTGCAAGCCCCTTGCCTTGGAAACGGTTTCAGCTGACCTTGAGTCTACGCAGCATAGATGCATAGTGGTTATGCTTCTGCAACTTTATGTGAATAAAAGGGCAGGGATTTGTTCATTGCCGTGTCCCAGGAGCCATTCCTAACTGGTCAGCTAGCATTACTCCCACTGACTTGCACTACCTTCATCTTCTTCGTTGATCAGATTTCCTTGCCACGCAATCTGGAATCAGCCATGGAGGATCTTCAGTTCACCAACCACCTTTCACAACGGATTTGTTCTGCACCAATGGAAGCATAAAGTTACCTTTCTTCCGCTCTAAGATTGGCATAAGCCAGGCTCCAGGCAGTCTCTGTATCTCATGCCCCAGGGCCAGGGTCTCCTTTGTGCATCTTCTCTCTCTCTGCTGTACTAGCAGCACAAGAGCAGGGAGGTTGCATCTCTTGCAGTGTTTGCTGAGCACGGCAGTTCGTTATGGCCCTCCTCTGACTCCTAGTTCAACCTTTAATAACATTTTCAGATACAATGTCCTGGAAGAGCAGCCATCTTTCCCATTCGAGCACTAAACTTTTACCTTTAATATGCCAATAATTTCAGTAGATTCAGGTTCTGGCAGAGCATGCAGGGCTATTTCCGGGGGTTGTTCCTGTGAACACTCTGAAAAATCCACTGTGTAGTTTGGAGGGAAGCATCAGAACTTTTTATACTTAAAGTCAATCTGCTGAATTTTTACAATTTGGCCCGTTTTGATTTCCCCTGTCCAAAGTTTCCTGTCCTGCCTGTGACTTCTCTCTGGATTCTCATTTTATTGCAGCTGAAGATGAGATTGTGAGCAAGAAAGAGGAAAATGCCCGCCAAGGCATCCCCAGGCCAATGGAGCCCGAGGGTTTACTCTCAGGACTCTCCAAGGAGAACAGTTCCCAGAGCCCTGCACAGGACCCAGTCCTCCCACACAGGTCAGAAAGGGTTCAGAGACCTCTGGGGAAGAGGCAAAGCCGAGTGACGCTGCGTGGAAAAAGTTTCAGGAGGCTGCCAGATATTATCCAGCAGAGAAATCCTTCTGTGGGGAGACTGACAATATGTGGGGACTGTGGGAAGAGCTTCCGGGTGAGCTCCAACCTTGTCCAGCATCGGAGAATCCACACTGGAGAGAAACCCTTTGCCTGTGCCGAGTGCGGAGAGCGCTTCCGGCAGCGGTCACATCTCATCCAGCACCAGAGAATCCACACAGGGGAGAGGCCCTACGAGTGCTCCGAGTGCGGGAAGAGTTTTAGCATGAGCTCGAAGCTGATCCGCCACCAGGTAACTCACACCGGGGAGAAGCCCTACAAGTGTGCCGAGTGCGGGAAGAGCTTCTCTGGGAACTCACAGCTCATCCAGCACCAGCGAGTGCACACCGGGGAGAAGCCCTACGAGTGCAGTGACTGTGGGAAGAGCTTCAGCGTGAGCTCAGCCCTGACGCGACACCAGCGGGTCCACACCGGGGAGAAACCGTACGAGTGCGTGGAGTGTGGGAAGAGCTTCAGCCAGAGCTCCGAGCTAATGAAGCACCAGCGGGTGCACACCGGGGAGAAGCCGTATGAGTGTTCCGAGTGCGGGAAGAGCTTCACTGTGAGTTCAGCCCTCATCCAACACCGGCGGTTCCACATGGGTGAACGCCCCTATGGGTGCACAGAGTGTGGAAAGAGCTTCACTGTGAGCTCCCACCTCATCCAGCACCGCCGCTTCCACACCGGGGAGCGCCCCTTTGAGTGCACCGAGTGTGGGAAGAGCTTCCTGTGGAGATCAGCCCTGCTCCGGCACCACCGGGTCCACACTGGGGAGCGTCCCTACGCCTGTGCTGACTGCGGGGATAGCTTTCGGCAGAGCGCCCATCTCATCCAGCACCGGCGCATCCACACTGGGGAGCGTCCCTACGCCTGTGCCGACTGCGGGAAGGGCTTCACTGTCAGCTCTGCGCTCCTCCGGCACCAGCAGGTCCACAGGGGTGGGGAGCCCTAGGAAGGGTGAGCGTGGAGAGCGGTTAGTTCTGGTACCCTGTGAGCATCCCTGGGGAGCGAAGCCCAGCGTCTCTCTCCCTTCGCTCTGTTGAGCGCCCTGCTCACGGAGGGCGAAAGTTTCTTTTTAGGAGAACAAGTCCTAAAAAGAGAGAGATGGAAGAAGAGGAGAGTTGGTGCCGAGGAGCTGAATTGGAGGTTTGGGGAGGAGCGTGTGACACAGCAGGGGAAGGAGGTGGTGGTCAGGAAGGGAAAGACGGGAGGTAGTAGAAAAGGCTGGAACGTGGTGGTGTATTTTAGAGGAAAGTCAATGCTTTGCCTTTTCTCTGTGCCTATGCGTTTGAGTTCTATAGAGTGAACCAAAGGGACCCTCCCAGAGCCTGCAGCGCTCTGACTAGATAAAGAAAAGCTCTTGTGTTCCATCCCTGCCGCTGCTTTCTTCAGAGGCTCTGAACTACCTGAACGACCTTCCCCGGCCCGCGGGCTGGGCCTGGAGCACGGAGACGCCGAAAGCCCGGCCTGCAGCGCCAGCCCCGCTGCTGGTGGTCGTGGCCTGAGCGTCTGGGACTTGGGGTCCCCCGGGGGGGGGGGCCGAGC